AGGTCTTTTCCAACTCTAACTATTCTATGATTTTATGATTCTATGATCTTGTGCTAAGAAATGGGGTGAAGTAAGCACACCGAGTTTAATTTCCTGCCTGTGCCACAGACTTCCTATGTAACCCAAGATAAGCTACCAAGCTCTTTGTTCATTATTTCATGCTCTGTAAAACTGGGATAATAACGCTTCCTTTCCCTTTGTATGCTCTTATTCATGCCTAATAAAAGATTATACTTTCTTGCTTAATGTAGTTGGTGTTACATTTGTGTATTAGATAAACAAGCACCTGAATATAGAGCTCCCTTTCCAAGACTTCATATCTATGCATATTCAAGACTCGCTCATAAATGTAAATTGTTCTTGAGTGTGAGTACTTGCACAATCTGTCTGCCTCTTCAGCTGGTTGCAAGTATGTTCAGATCTGGGTACTGGAGCTGTTTCCAGCTGGACTTGATAAATAACATAAGAGTTTTCAGGACCTAATAGTTCAATCAGAATAAAGCTAGCTTTTTCTCTGTGTAATGTTCATTATCAAGTAACGAGGATGGTTCAGTTCACTGTATACCTCTACGACTTAGCTTATTTTCCTGAAATGTTATATTTGCTTAGAATCCTTAGCATCTAGTTCTTCCTGATTTCTAGTGGATTATACTGAGAAGCCAGTATCTTTGGAAATCAAGAGGTTATTCCTTTCTCTGCTTCCCTGGAAACTCTTATTTAATAATATTTTAGTGTAACTTATGATCAACTGAGAATTCTTAACTGGTATTTTCATGACAAACTGTACCTGCTATGAATGACCAGACTGCACTTTATGATTTTTCTCAGACAATTCCCTTGCAGTCTTTGAGTGTTAACTCATTCAGCAGGAGTAAAACATTTACGGCCAACATTCATGAAAAGCTCATTAAGGCAATCACTATTAGTTAATGAGTAGAAATACATTTGGATCCAAGGCTGATAATGTGACTGAGTTGGAGAATGAAGTATTATTTATATCTCTTTATAAAGAGCATCAGAAGTGAAGATCTTTATCATGTATCCTATGACTAACACAAATTTGAGTAAATATATGTATTCTCTCCCCAGATTCTCCCTGTAGTCTCAGTGGTTATGACTTTACTCTTCATGTGCTTTAATCCCCAACAGCCACGTAGATGTTCATCTGTACTTAAATCAGTGCTGTATTCTGATTCAGACTTACCTGCAGGTAGAGGGATTGATCTCTGAAGCAGAAATGTTGCCAATAGGGTAAATGGTATCTATCATCTGTCATTGCCTTGTGCCAAATAGTGGGAGAAAAGCAGAAAAAGAGAAAAATGTGTAATCCCATTGCCTTGTTAATAATGTAGTTTAATTTTGGAATAAAAAGGTGCTAGGTGGATCTGATCATTAAAGCAATGAAAAATTTTCCCATGGTTAGGACTGGAGTGGTATTGGTCTTTAAAAGAAAGTAGTATTTTATTACTTCATTATGCATGGACCTGATCTATTGGTGGCATATTCTAAAAATGAAATGCCTGAATTTCTCAGGACTTGAGCCTAAGAAATCAGATCAATACCTGTTGGTCTTCTGCATATCTTGGCCTCAAGATCAATGTATTAGATTTCTGTTAACTGTCTGTTAGCCTGGAACATCAAAAAGAATATCAAGAGATAAAATGCTGGTCTTATTCAAAATTCCAACAGCACTGAAAACCAGACAATAGTACTGAGGGTTTAGGGAAAAGACTGATCTTTCTGACAAACTGAGAGCTCAAGGACAGACTTGTCATTAAAAATGCTAAAAATCTGGACCAACTCCACTAAAATTTGGGGAGTTTCTTTGTGTTTACATTGATGAAAGTGGAATTAGAAATTACTCTTCAGTCTCAGTTTTTTATTAGTTTTAATTAGTCTTCAGTTTTTTAATCAGTCCAAGAAATGGATGCCAGTACCCTTCTTTACCAGAAGGCTTTCTATTTAGCTCACATTTCATTTCTTAATGAATCGGGTTCTTCTTGGAGGGACAGAGCTTTAACTGTTCCTAGTTGTTGATTCACTTTGCTGGAAATGAATGCTTAGCCTTTACTTGTCCATTAATCTGGAATCCTAGGACATAACTATTTTATGCATTTGAATTCCTTATGTTTGTATGTGCTCACATGTCAGAACTCAATACTCCAGTATCAATCTGTAAACAGCCACCATTCAGTCTTCTAAGACTGGCTATGTTGCTTTTTCTCCTTTAGTTTTTAATACTTTTTAATGCACTATTACAAGTTTCCATTGTACGATGGCCTTTGCTGCACAGATTCATTACATATGGACATGCACAAGTCTCCATTTGTCACAGTGAAGCGGGTCAAAGGAATCAGTGTGTAGTTAAGTGTTTCCTAATAGAATTTATGTTAAGCATAAACTCCGTGACAGAGTTTTGTTATGCTAAAGCCTTGTAAACATTATTACATTAATATACCCTTTGATCACCTAACTGGCTAATAACACAGTTATTTTGGTTTTGTGTATTAGTTCGATTAAATCAAATAAAGCAGCAGCTCAAGGAAGGCTATAATTCTTTTTCAACTGTCTTTTATCACTTCTTTCTGTAACAGGTAGTAGTATGACAATTTTCTATTGCAGGACTTGAAAAGCCACAGAAGCCATGCAACATGCATTACTTGGGGTTCCTCTTCTCTTTCAGAGCCCTTATGATTCTCACCGTTCCTGGTTTTATTTGTCTCAGCTTTGGAATGTTCAGTTTCCAGCTTAGGAACAGGTTATAGAAGTAACATATCAGTTTGCTTTTTAAAATGCTGGCCCCCTTTGTGTTTGCTGAACTGTATCACTTGACTTTGGCTTTAGGTATGGTGATAAAAGACAGAGGGCATGATTCATTTCACACTCATGCCACTGTATTGAGGTAGCCAAAGTAAATGGAGGCAGACTGATATAAGACCCCAAGAGAGTACCCCAGAGAAGAAGGACTTAAGGGTATTGGTGAATGAAAGATTGCACATGAGCTGGTAGTGTGCGCTCGCAGGACAGAAAGCAAACTGTACCCTGGGCTGCATCAAAAGGACTGTGGACAGCAGGTCAAGGGAGACGATTCTGCCCCTCTACTCTGCTCTCATGGCACCGCACCTGGAGTCCTGCATCCAGCTCTGGACTCCTCAGTACAGGAAAGACATGGGCATGTTGGAGCGGGTCGTGAAGATGATCAGAGGGATGGAGCATCTCTCCTATGAGGAAAGGCTGAGAAGCTGGGGTTCTTCAGCCTGGAGCAGAGAAAACTCTGAGACCTTATGGACAATGATCACAGAGCCATTCAGGGTTGCAGGGATTCAGGAGGTCATCTACTTCTCCTGTAATGCAGTTGCAGAAAAGCAGAACTCATTTCAGTTGCACTGACCTAGTAACTCCTGCCTTAGCTAATGCCAAAAAAAAAAAGGATATTTAAAAGCATTATTTAAAATGAAAAGTTGATTTTAATACTGTCATTTTAGTGCAAAATAGTAGTTATTTTTAAGGAGGTTTTCTCTGAAATCTCTCTATATGTGAGTATAAAAATATGTACTGACAATTTCTGGGGACACTGTTCATGGAAAAAGTTAAAAACAGGAGCAAATTCAGACATTTAATTATTTAAATTTCCGTATGACTGTAGGTGATTGTGATAGGAACACAGTCTATAAAAGGAAGATGTCTCTAAAGATTTCTCCTTTTTAAAGTTATGCACATATAATTACCGTATTATGAAACATAATTATGGTACCCTTAGGATTTTTCTGCAGTCTCTACAACCAATCTGACAAGGAATTGATAAAGTGCAGGAAATAATCCAATAAAAAAACTGCATGAGTTTTATCTCACAATAACAATTTTAAACCAAAACTATTAAAATATGATAGTAATAATCTTATGAAAATTATTTCACAAAGTCATCCTTAAGACAACATAGAGTAGCAAATAAATTTATTCCTCTCTGGAGAAATGGTCCTTTAAAGACTGGAAATTCTCACTTTTCATAAAGCTATCTAGTATAACACTGAATTTTGTTTCTTGTAAATAATTGTTTCAAAAGTCATCCTTATTATATGTAAAGAGTGTTTATTTTCATGTGTGTCTCTTAGGTTACTCAGCCTGAATTTCCTCTGCCTTTTTTTGTCCTGTTACCAGGACCATAATGTGCCTCTGTACTTCTTTTCAGTGGAATTGTCTATTCTACCTTCGTATCATCAGCAGACTTTGTAACCTCATTATTTATCTCCGTGATTGTGTCTTTATCATTGAGTCATATATGGATCCCATTACAAAAAGATGTGTATGGGATGGTAAAACGTGTATATTTAATGACAGGAGGAAAAAAGAACCATGCTCAACATCTGCAAAAGTGGTGTTCAGACTGGTGGATTTGGGGATTAGAAAGCTCCTCTCATTCCCTTCCCCTGTCCTAGCGTGAAGCTGCACTGGGTCCTCTGTATTGAGCTGGCTTTGTGCAAACTAAATTGCAGTGTGGATTGAGAATCAGAGTTGAAAGACATGCATACAGGTGTGCTTCTTGGCTGGAACTGAACATAATTGTCCATATTATGCTGATCTGCATGAGATCTTTGAGAGGATAGCTATGTGTAAACCACATATGGTCCATGTGCTTCTGCAATGACTGCTGTGTCCACAAGCAGAAGATGTAGCCTAAGAGCCAGGTCTTCCTCTTGAGTTCCTCAGCCATTAAGGCCACAGTGGACATGAGGAAGGGACTTTATTGCTTGCAGGAGCCCTGAGGACTGCTGAGCAAGTTCACCTCTGGTGTGATGCCAGAGGAGAGAGTCACAGAGTGTCTTCATATTGGTAATAACACTGGAGATGAAGCAAGATCTTTCAGGGTGCCCAGCGTGAACTAGGGACAGCTGATGCAGTGGACTGCCCCTGCCAGCTAGAAAACATGCGCTGATAAGATAGGAACCATTCAGCACCATCCTATTTCCCTGTGCCCCACACAACCCTCCGTAGATGGGGGTTGTGGTTTACTCATGGCAGGGCTCCCCACCATGTTTCATTAAAAATTGCTTCTGCTGCAAAGACTGCTGATGGCTGCTCAGGTGTTAGTTCATTCAGGAAGCATGCTGGGATATACAGTGCTGAGCAAGCGCTTTGTTATCAACAGGACAAAACACAGGCTTGTTCCCACAAACTTGTGCTCATTCTTGCTTTAATCCACATGGTTATTTTAAAGAGCATGAAGTACTTCTGAATTTCAGTGGGAGTACTCACATGCTTACCATTTAGCACAGCTTGAAACGCTTTGCTGAATCAGGGCCAGAAGACACTTACAAGAACGGAACCCATAATGCTCAACTTTTTATTCATTCTTGGTTAGTTGCCTCAGATGTGACCATCAATTATTGCTCAGTGAAAGAAGAGCATCCTCTTTGTTCCGAAGTTCAAACTAAAGCATAAGGTGACCTGCAGGTGGGTCCCCCCTGTGAAAAGAAAGACATTTTGGCAATCTGATGCGCTACTTCCTAAGAATGATACCTCTCGCCTTCAAAATACAGGGGGGCAGACAAATTACCAGCTGAGCAAAGATCAGGGCTGAGCCACCATCCTTCTCCTGCTGAAAAGATTACTTCATCTTCTAAGTTTGTCATGCAAGCTGCTTTAACTATGAGCTAATTTAAATTTCTTATCCTTTGGCTAAGATTAGTTCATATAGTGACATTTAAATTTCATTTGCTCACAGTAATTTCGTTGTGCATAATGTTGTAGATAACAGAAATGGCAGATTATGTAAATAGCCATTTGTAAACAGCAGCTTTTTTCAATCCATTGTTCTGAACATCCTTCACAAATTGCCTCGTACATGTTCCTCATTTTAAATGTGCCTGTCACCAGACACTTTGCTTCTATAAACATTTTTTTTCACCCATCTCCCCCAAAGTGCAGCAGTTAAATTTAAAGTGCTGTTGAATGCCGGTTATTTCGTCAAACTACAATAACAACAAAAAATCCTGTGCAAAGGGCAAAAGATATAAACTAGCCATCTGCTACAAGCAGCAACAGCAACACAGAAAAGTGAAAGAAAGAAACAATGATACTTGAAGTGAGTATTGAAGTGAGATTGCCAGACATTTGCCAGAAAACCATATACATGCATTTCTTTTTCATTACACTTGGAAGCCTTTTCTAGTTATTGCAGTGAGAACTTGGGATAGACAGTTAAGCTGAATATTCACCCAAGTCCTAGTGCTAAACTCTGTAACTTTCCCCATGTTCCTGATTTCTCTTAGGACAGTGATATGCTGTCACACATATAAGTAGTGCTGTTTGGTAGAGTCTTTGTTGGAGCTGGGAAAGCACTTACTGCCAAGGGCAGGGCTTCACAAATTCTACTTGAAAGAAGAACCCACGGAGGAATTGCCAAGTGTGGTTTTTGTTTCACTACCAAAATTCAGAATGAAAAACTAAATTAAAAAAAAAAAAAAAAGAGAAAGGAAAGAAGAGGATGGGTTCTTGGATGGATTCTTGAAAAGGGATGGTACCAGCTGAATTCCAAACAGGAATACTTAGTGGTGAATGTCAGAGGGAAAACGTGAAGAAAACAAGCATTACCAGCATTTCCAGTTCTCTTATCTGCCACTGAGGATACATAAAAGAATGAATTAGGCATATTCAGTGGTGGTGTTGAGGGTGGCCTAAGCTGATGTGACTTGTGGCAATGCTTGACAGATGTCTACCAGCAGGATCTGGTTACACCAGCCCTGCTAGGCATAAAGATTGCTTTCCTCCTGGAGCTGCACCTGCATTTGTGCCAGTGGGTTGCCTGTTTCTCTGGGCTTTTGCAAAAACCTCCATTCTCTGTATTGCTCCTCTCTGTGTCTTGCATTTCTGGACTGGTGAGTAGTTTTCAGAAATGCCAAGATTCAAACAGGGGCCAGAAGCAAATACTTTTCATGTGAATGGGATGCTGCTGAACTTTTGTCATCTCTTACTTATATTCAACTTGATTTTGGTTTCTCCAGACCAGGTCTTTCAATGCTTGACCTAGAAGAAACCAAATTAAAAAGATTTGAAAGGTCCAGAGAAGTAGCTGAAAAATGTAGGAGCAAACTTTTCACAAATGATATAAGTACATATTGCATAAATAAATGGTATATTAACCCCCCCCCCCAAAGTTGTATGAAGGGTAAATGTACAATTACAATGAAGTTATTTACACCCTCTGATCACAGGTGTGAAAAAAACATATGAACTGTCTTAGAAATTAGTATAATTTAAATATCTGGTTACCCATGTTTTCAAGATAACCTCTGCAATGTGCTTTCATTATAGCTCAGATATAAATAAATGGTTTCTAACATATTTTATTAAATTTTGCCTAACTACTATTTTAAATATGTTCTTTTATGTTTATATTTGAGGTAACAGAATTGTACAAACAGTTTAATGGCAGATGCAGGCCAACAAAGTTCAGCTATGCATAAAACTGTAAAGCTGTGTTATACAGCTATATGCATTAGACAGGCCAAGTAGGGTGTCATTGTATTCTGGGAAAGAAGAAAAAAAGAAAAGAAAAACAGGCTAAGTTGCCATCTGTAAACTGTGACTATACACTTAACACGGATCTGACAACCATGACTAAAGAAGAGAGTATGAATTGAGAGGGATTCAAAGAGTCAGTTTGAGAGGCATTCAATTTTATCTGAGTTCTATTAAGATAAGGATGTGGATGGAATACGCTTTATAAAAGAGAGCATTTCAACAGCAGCACTAGAAGCTCCCTCCATATTGCATTTGTTAGCATGATAACTGCTTTTCTACTATCACAACCGGGAGTCATGCCTGTTTGAAAGCCACACAAAATGTATCGGTCAAATCCTGGGGCAGCATATGCTCTCAGTGTAAATCTCAGGAGCTGTTTGGACACTGCACTTATTACAGACAGAACACTGGGGCAGACTGATACTGAAGACAATATGAACAAGTAGAAAAATGCACAGGAGGGAGGCTGCCATGCAGAGTTTCTGGTTTTCAGCTCCGCAGCCACGGAGAGGATAGTCTTCCTGCCTCGCAGAGGAGGCTTCATTGGACTGTTACAAGATCAGATCACAGAGTGGGTCAGCAAGGACTAGTAAAAAGGTACAGTACCTTCAGGAAGGAGAACATATAAGGATGTTTTAGACACTGTTCAGTTCTCGGCTGCACATGCATTGACTGAAGAGAGGTGGTAGACCTGGCAGTGCTAGGTTAACAGTTAGACTTACAGGTATCTTCCAACCTAGATCATTCTAAAGTATCTTCCAACCTAGATCATTCTACGGTTCTAAGCACTTCTTGAAGAATGAGCTTTCAGGAGTGGTAGCTGGTGGCAAAGATAATATTTTGTTTGTGATACAGGTAGGGATAAAATAACAAACCTCATGTAATTGCATATATATACCTTTAAAAGGACTTTTGAAACCTCTATATCTCTTTTCAAACACACCTATTGTTTCTTCAAAATTTGTTTGCTTTTCCTCCCTGAAGTTAAGCACAAAATTTGATCCTGTTTTTCTGAAACACTGCAGAAAATCTCTTTCCCAGCTTACTGCAAAACCTCTTTAATCTTCTTTTTACTCCCTTCCTTTCCAAGTCTTTTTCAGAGGGTATTTTTTTTGTCTTCTCAACATGGGGACACAAAAGCTCAGTTTGGGGACCTAAATTAGCAGTTGGCAGTCTAGGTAATTCACCAAGAGAAAACAGCAAAGAACTCGAGCAGGTAATGCAGATATCTAAATAATGCTGTGAACTAGTTGGTTAACCTAATTAGTTAGCCTAAATCTAAGTTTGATTCTCTAAGTGCTTTACCCTGGTGACTCCCTGACTTGTAAATGACTGTAAAATTCTGTCGATACTTATGGAGCAAACTTTCAACTGCAGTATTTTTTTTGATGTTTGTAATTTACAGTTTAGATGCAGATTTTCTTGATGTCATGCACAACAGGAGTTATGAAAAATAACTGGAAGCATAAAGTAATTCAGGACTCAAAAAACTTTTGATCAGAACTAAAATGAGTAAAATCTTTAAATATTGCCACTAATTCCTTTTCTGTTGTCTGCATCACTTTATTCATTTTGATTTCACCAAAATAAACAGTTTTCTATTTCCTATGTCTATTTCTATGTTAATATTTAATTAAAAGATTATCAAGTAATTTAACCATCTAACTTAATAGAACATATGCAAATTTAAAAATTAAGCCAGTAATTTTTGCACTGAATCAATTATTTTCCATTTAAGCTGCAGTGTGTCTTTTGGAAAGATAATTCAGATGTAAGGATTTCAAATAAAGGAAAATCCGCTACAATGCTTTCATGTGCTCTATCATTGGTTAAACAGAAAGTATTCCTCACCACAGTGATTGGGAGCAGCCCTGAGGAGAACGACTCGGGGGTGTTGACTGACAAGCCAGCCCAGAAAGTTGACTGTGTCCTGGGCTGCATCAAAAGCAGCATGGCCAGCAGCTCAAGGGAGGTGATTCTTTCCCTCTACTCTGCTCTGGTGAGACCCCACCTGAAGTTCTGCTTTCAGCTCTGGGGCCACAACACAAGAAGGACGTGGACTTGCTTGAGCAAGTGCAGAGCAGACCATGTAGGTGCTCAGAGGGCTGGAGCACCTCTCCTGTGAAGACAGGTTGAGAGAGTTGGGTTTGTTCAGCCTGGAGAAGAGAAGGCTCTGGAGACATGTTACAGAAGCCTTCTAGTATCTAAAGGGGGCCCACAAAAAATCTGGAGAGGGACTTTTCACAAGGGCATGTAAGGATAAGACAAGAGGGAATGGCTTTAAACTGAAAGAGGGTGGATTTAGATTAGGTTTTAGGGAAAGATTCTTCACTACAAAGGCGGTGAGACACTGGAACGTGTTTCTTGGAGAAGTTTTGGTTGCCCCATTCTGGAAGTTTTCAAGGCCAGGCTGGATGGGGCTTTGAGCAACTTGAAGAAGTAATGTCATAAATTTTTGTAAAAAGAAAAATTTAAAAAAGAAAAAGGAAAGTTACCCAAGAGTTTTTTTACCAATATTCATTATCTGGATAGACCTATAACAATTCTTTCAAAATGAAAAGCTTTCAAAGCAGTAGTTGTTTCCTGAAGCAGCTCGAGCTCTAAGTCTGTTCTCCCATTCTGCTCTAACACTGGAACCCATCCAACCACTGCATGTGGTATGAATAAGGGTGCTGTGTCCTGCTGTACTTGGTGAACTGATGTTTTTCAGTAGAGTATGAAACTGCAGCGTAAGTGCCACCTTCTGATAAGGCATGATGGCTCCTGGTTACCTTTCCAGCCTGAAGCCCAAGACCAGTCACTGGGATGCAGATGTTTCCTGCACAATCCCATTATCTGCAGTGGATGCTGGAAGTCACAGTGTGCCTGGTATGCAAAAAAGCAGCTGTCATCCTTGATGGCTATTAGGAATAATTACCAGGTTTTCTTATTCTTTCTATGCACAGGGTGCTACGCTTTGTATTCTTTCAAGTAGCCTGGAGAAATGACATGGTGGCACTCTTGTCTCTGTGAAACAAACTTCTGGAATTTGAGCTCTATTCTTTCCAGTGTCAGTTTCACTAAAAATATATTTTCTGCTAGTTGAATTCAGTGACAAGTTTTACTAATGCAAAAGACAATGTGAACTTATATCTCTTCTAGTTTATCTGTATGGTCTATCAAGCTGTCTGTAAAAGCTACTTGCTTGTATGGTCCCTGTCACCACAGTGTTGTCAGTGGAAAACTTGAGGGCAGAATTTCTTTTCCTATAGGGAACTTAGCTAACATAGGATAATGCAGAAGTCATGATAAATCCACACTGATACTCTCTGAAAACTGCTGTGCTTTATTGCTGACTAAAGGAATGACAATTTCCTCCTGTCTCTTGAGTAAGCAGATGGGACTCTGAATACTGAAAGGAACAGATTACTTAGATTTAAAAGAGACTTTAGTGAATAAAAACGTATTACAGCTCAGCTTGATGGGGCTCCAAGCTGAGAGAAGAGGGAGAATGCGGTTGTTGTATGAGTATTTCTGAGTTATACAACCCCTTAGGCAGTGCTAATGGGGAGGAAAATGGGAAGAGCTCCCTTTTGTGCACCCCTTTCAGAATAAGAAATGCAGAGGCAGTGCAGCATCTCTCTCATGGCAAAGCCTCAGTGGTGGTTGCACAGTTAAGGACAGAAATGCTGTTTGCAGTACTGAGTTGTCTCATCTAGTTTAACCTCATGGTATCTGCTGGTGTGAATGTTTTATTACAGCTGTTAAGACTACAATAACTTCCTTTCTCCTCAGCCTCATTATTGTTTGAGAGAGATGTGGTGGGAGGAAGTACGAGCTGAAACAATCTTGTTTTCATGCTTCTCGCTTGACACAAGTGCTGTTGCACAAGATTGCTGGCTGGTGGAAAGATCGACGACATTTTTAAACAACTGTTACTGTCTTCAGCGGGTTTTTTTCTCTCCCACTGCAGTAATTTTTTAATTAATTTGCTGTAAAGAGTAGTGATCCCAGAAGCCTTCCTACTTGCTGATATTGTCTTCAGTGTCAGTCCTCAGGTGGCTCTTTTGTTATGATCATCTACACAGGTCAGCTGGCTGCTTTTGCTGTGGCTTAATGACTGAAGGAAAAAGCAGCATCTGGGCTTTCCTGCTGGGGGTGTGCTGTGGTGAGTTCTGACATGTAGGTTTCATCAACAGCCCCATAGGGCTGCCCAGCAGATCCTCCCCAGCTAAGATGCAGAGCAGTTAGTCTCTTTAGGGACTGCATGCTCAGACTCCCTCGTTGGATGCTGTTCAGACAGAAGCACACCCGGGTCTCACTCCATTACACAGCTGGAACACGGCTGGTGTGTGCCATGAGCTCCTGAGTTCCCTGCTCTGCATGTATTCGAGAAACCTATGATCAGATAACAAATGTTTGTTCCTTAGAAGACAAGAAAAACTGAGAGGATTTTGTGTGTGTTACTTCTCTGTCCTGTTTTCTTTAGAACTTTTATTCTAAATGATTGATTTATCTTGTAT